TGTGAAAATATTAAGTTTTAACCTAATTTAAATCTAAGTTAATTTACATGCAATTTAATGAAAATAAAATAAGTAATATTATTATTATGAAAAAAAGGAAAATTAAAAAGGAATAAAAAAAATTCATTAAACCTAATTCTATATTTTTTGTATTTTTGTTTAAAAGAATTTAAAATTTGCAACCTAATTAAACTAAATTCAATTATACAATTTATTTATGAAAATAATTAAAATAAAAATATTTATTACATTTTGTCTTTTTCTGATTTTTTTGTATATTTTTATATTTTGTAAAGAAATAATTAATTAATTTAACAAATAAAGAAAATAAAATCATTATTAAAAATAAAAATAAAAAAATGTATAGAGAAGCAAACCAGGGGGGGATTTTCTGTCCCAACATGGAGGTGTGGATCTTAGAATGCTGGCCCATTTGCCTTTGAGTCTGTTTGACTTTTTGAACAGCCTACAGCCATGTTGACCTACGTCCATGGTGTGCTTTCAATCTATGCCATTGACTGGATCCCAGCGCGCACGTGGATGGTTGATCAGGAATGTGTATGATGCGCCTTAACCCTTGAAGCTGCATATGAACATTTGATGAAAAATAATATTGGGATAACGTAGACCTGGGACTTGAACCCAGGTCATGAGGGTTACAAGCACATACACCTGCCAGCTGAGCCATTAAGTTTCAATTAACATATTATAGTAAATAAATAACAAAAAGAAAAACCAACGCGTAGTGGAGAGAAACGCGCGCAATTTAAACCAACGAATCACTGATTGACACGATGTCGTCTTCTTCACGTCCCCTGTAACACAAACTCAAAGGCAACAGTTTTCATAGCGTTTCATTAGGTGGGCTATTGGAAAATAGCGAATAGCTCATCTCTCAACATAAATTAGGCGCGAATATATGTTCATGATCGTCCCAATCTGCTGAGTGCAATGGTTGTGGCCTTGAGTCTTAATTTTACCTCGTTCTAAAAGCCCCAAATTTGCAAACCTGTAACCCTAGAAATCGCGCATGGTAAAATCATATATGAAGCATAATAATCCAATTAAATACAATGGTTAGCTTTAAAACTTTACAAGAAACGTAAATCAAGCATTAAAAGTGACAATGGATGCATGAATCGTTGTGCACGACTATGAGTTTTTCTTGATACAGTTCATGTTCATTCTACCAATTCTTGGAGTCTGAATGGATGCTAACGATTGGAATCGCTTCTGGGAGCCTTGAGGAAGCCTTTGAAACAAGAATTAAGACCTGAATCCTCCTCTAACCACGTTTTCAGAATTGCTTTATTTGACAAAATTTCCAAGTTTGTAAGGTATTCTTGAGCGCAGCTTTCAGTGTTCTAGCATTAGGTTTGTATTCCTGTTTATGTATTGAAACAAAATTCAACAAAATCTCTTGTAATCATGGATTGAAGATTTGATTTTTTTCCATTATATTTTCAATCTTTTTCACATGGTTTTTGTATCAATTATGATCAATTCAATCCAATTCTTCCTAATCAGCATGTGCACGAAATATTGACCTTGAAATGTGTACAAAAAGATTTGTTTGGTTCATTTAGATATTTTTCACATATTTAATTGATTTAATTGAATTAATATAAATAAAAATTCAAATAAATAAATAAAAAATGAGAAAATACTTCCCTTTGGGCCAAGTGGTCGTGCATATGCTTAGAATGATGAATCATGGAAGAAAAATGGGCCCATTAGCAATTTTAGGTCATTTGAACCATTGTTGACTTTTCAAAATATCCAAAAATTTCCCAACTTCCACAAGGCATAACTTGCTCAATTTTTAAGCTTTTCACATGTTCTTGGACATTTTGGAAAGGTCTTTGAGTCGTCTAACCAATGTCTTTGGTCCCATGTCATTTTGATTTACCAATCTCAAGTTATGGTCTTTGACTTAAAGTCCCTTTTTGTTGACTTTTGAAAATGACCTATAATGTTGAAATTGATAACCTTTTGTGAGAGCATTTCTTGGACTTGAAATATGAATATGAGTTGTAGGAAATGTCTTTCTCTTCAAAATGAGCTTTGGATGGAATTTTTCTGATAATCCATGTGAAAGTTATGCCCTGGTCAATTTCAGTTGACTTTTTCAGCTGTCCAAATATAGTAACTTTTGTATCTTTGATGATTTCTGAGCCCAATTTTGAGAATCATGATCAAGCATTGATCAAATGATGTTTGTGGCTTCAAAATAATATGTTGACCAAAAATTTGAACTTTTGACTGCCAAATGACCATTTTGCCCCTACAGTTGACTGTAGTGCAATTTAGGGTTTTCACTGTGCAATTTTGAGCTGAATGCCTTGAAACTTGATATGAGGATACTTGACCATCTTTGTAGGCATGTGGGACTTGATTGGACCTTTGAAAACTTCATTTTCTTGCTCAGAACACAAACCCTAGTTTTGACTGTATGGGAGACTGTTGTACTGAACAACCCTTGGGGGAGTTTTGTGACTTGACTTGGCAATTTCTTGGAGAATATGGGAGGGCAAATTTTGGGGTACAACACATTGCTTATGATGAGATTATCAATTATTGCGAATATTTTATGCACCACTAACATCTAATCATATATGAAGGTGTATGTTTGTGTTTCTTTGGTTTCATGTGCAGAGACAAGTCTGAATCAAAAGCGTCAGGTGTTGCGCCTCAATTAGGGTTTTGGATCCCTTAAGTGTTCAAGTATGATGGATCACCGAATCTCAAAAGTACAGTCTAGATTTCATCATCACTGGTCCATATGTGCATCAATATGCCTTGGAATGCAAGGAAAGATCAAGTATGCAAGTCGATTCAAAGCACTTCGAGCAAAAGTCAACTTTTTGCAAGATCAAGTTCAAACGATCATAACTTCTTCATTATTTATCAATCAAGATCTGATTATGTGCGAAGGATCATCAAAAGTCCGAATACTGTAGAGGTTATCCTGTGGAATTTGACATAATTTCAAAAATAGTTGTGCCCAACTTCCACGGATCATAACTTCTCTGGTTCTCGACATTTTGAGGCAATTCTTTTGTGAAGTATCCCAAATAGTGTTGTTTATGAAATTGCTTCAAAGATCGAAGTCTAATTATGCTTTGAAGGCCATGATATCTTTTGAAACATTATAGGTCGTTTTTTATTTAGAATGTTCCTAACTTCCAATTTCAATTCATGCCATAATTGTTTCTTCAAAGATGTTGATTCTTTTGATGAGATCATTCATGAAACTAGATTTTTGAGTTTGAAGATTTTTTTATTGGCCGTTTGCTTATAATTCAAGTCACTCGTGTTTGAGTATTAGTGATTATTATATCTAAATTAGGTTTTGACTAAAGTTCTTAAAGGCAAGATTTATACTATTGGCTCGTATTTTAAGTTACTATGAATTGAAGATATGGATTTTAATGAAGAAGATTCGAGGATCCATTCAAATAATTATTTTGACTTTAGCTTAATTCAATCATGTGGGGCATAATTCATTCATATGAATTTGTCTTTGGTTAAAGATATTCAAAAGGATCAATATGCTTATGGCGCAAGTTTGATATATTTGAAAAAAATCCATTCATGTAAACTATTTCGAATTCAAGGTAAGGCATTCATCAACTCCATTCATCTTCATTCAAATTTCCAAGTTTATTCAAATACAAGATTTAATTCAAGTTCCTCACATCTTAAGTTCATCAAGAGATTTTGTTACATAAATTTCAAATCTAAACTTTGAGTAAATTCATCATCTTACAAGACTTGTTTAAGTTTCAAATTCAAGGTATGTTTAAAGTTACATGAGATTATTGTAAGTCATAAACTTATGCTAGCTAACACTTTCCCTAAAAGTTCTCTGTGACCATCTTCATGAGAAAACCAAGTCTTGTCATTTTCTAGCCTGCAAAATCAGTCCCAACCTGCTAGAAACTTGCAAAGTCATGTTACTGCCCGTGCACCTTGCTGCTCCAGAACCTGCACACACCAGTTCAAGCTTACTGTCAATTTCTAGCCCTGCATAAATGCAAAAAGGGTCAAATTGTGAACTTTCCTTGTCCAAAATACCCTGCCCATAACATGCAAAACTCTGCTACAAAACAGTCCACAAATGCCAAATCACCCTGTCCAAAACATGCTTAAAGCAATCAAATAATTCTACATTAACAAAAGTATAAAAAAACTTAGTAGCCAATAATCAATCCAAGACATCCATTCAAATTCATCAACATCTCATTTTATCTCTAAAAATTTTAATCTTCAAGTCTATATAAAGAAGTTACAGAAACAATAGAAATGGGGGAATCACAAGAGAAATATTGAGAAATCGAGAGAAAGAGAAGCAAAAGCAACAACAGAAGAAGAAGTGTAAACTTACTTCCTTTTGAAGCTCCATCAGAGAGACTCCGATAAGTATCATTTTCTTCCCATTTATCTCTACATAATCTCTTTTCCCATTACATATATGTTTGATCTGCTTACACTGTACACACTTTCACCTCCCTTGTATATGTTTTTCTCTCCGAACACAGAACTCGTACCATACAAATATCAACTCTAACCAATATCACTCTATAAGTTTCATATCCGACCAAAACTAAAGAGCTACACATTGAAGCCTGAAAAAAAAAACACCTTCATCATCAATCTAACAAGCTAACTCTAGAACCATGAACACATTAATCCCAAAATTCTCCTCACTTTTATTCACAAAAAAAAACACTTTGCAAACAAGAGCCAAATAACAATCACAAAGACTTAAAAGTTCAGAACAAAGAAGAGTTGGATCTGAAAAAGATGTTTAGTTACATTTATAGAGAAGAACCCTTTCATTTGTCCAAAGCCACGTCGAGTAAGGGTCTTATCAAACGTCCCTATGCGGCAATTCATATTTCATTTCAATCAACAAGTTGGGTGTTCTGATTCAAAAGCTGGGGTTGAGTACTTGACATGATTTTCGAGAGGGAGTGTCTTGGGGACGAGTTTGCTTATCAGACAACTTTATCTCCACCATATTTTTGCGTGTCTCCGCCGATCTGGGTTGCAAATCCCTTAGTCCACGACGCTCGTTTTGGAGACGAAATCATATCACCATCACCATCAGGTTTGCCTTCGCAACCTCTGTATCCCGCAAAGGCAGATGTGCTAGGGTGTTCTTTGGACTCAAATTGGCTGCAGTTAGAGTAGAAGGATTTGATTGCCTCAAAAGGGATCTTCAGAATTCTAGCATCTCTATCTTCGCGTGAATGTTCCATTCAGAGAAGTGTATATAAAGGCGAAGCAAAGGGAGTATATCGTGAGGAAGAAAATGAACAATTTGAGAGATAGTCTTGTTGAGAATTGTTCAGAATGTTAAGTAAGAAAGGAAATTGCAACAAGAAGAACAAATGGGTTAACAGAAAGAGAGAGGACCAGAGAGAATGAGGTTTTTTTCCTTTCCCAATAATTGATGAACCGTGTTTTATTGACACCTAATTAGGGATTAAAGAAATTAATTGCAACCTTTCCCCTTCCCTATATGAGATTCGGCGCCCCTTTCCTATCCTTAGGGTTTCAAAAAAACTCATTTTTTCCCTCTTAGATGGGCCCGAGTTTTGGCCTAGCCCAACCCATTTCACAAGTTTTTGATTTTATAGTTTTTGATTAAGTGAATGAATCAGTATGGCGTAGTGGATGGAGCGTGTGTGTAATATGCGTGAGGACCTGGGTTCGAAACCCATTGTATATATTTTATCATTATTCTACTTTTTATTCCCTTTTAACCCAAACTTTGTTTTATATATTTTAATTAAGGTGTCTATATAATAGAAAAATGAACATGGTCAAGTGGTAAGGCTGTTTTGTTACAACCCATATAACTTGAGTTGAAGTCCTAGATTTTGCACTTTTATTTTCTTATTCCTAATTTTCAAGTTTTTTCGCCTTATTTCATTTAAAAATTCATAAAAAACATAATACAAAAATATATTAGGTTTATAATTATTTCTTTCTTGCCCTCTATAAAAAATACCAAAAAATATATGTTAGTATAATTTTGTCTTTCTTTATTTTATTTAATTTTTGGTTGTTAATTATTTAGTTATTTAATTTTATTTCCATTTGTTGATCATTTAGTCTTTATGTTTTTATTTTCGTCTAACTCCAAAGGAAAAATCAAATTCATTGACTTCATGTCATCGAATATATTTAATATGATTGTGCGAAAACCCCTTTGTACATATTTTTTAGTTTTATTAGTCTAAAAAACAAATCTCTTCTAAACCCTAATTTTAAAAAACTCGCACCTCTTTTAAGCCAAAAACTTCGACATTAGGTCGTCGCATTTTCAAAATCTCATCCCCACACTCATTTAGCAAGCAAACCAATTTTAACCAAAAACACACTTATTTCAAAAGGTTCGTATAGAATACTATAGATACACAGGGTTCTAGTACCTTCCCTTTGTATAACCAACCCCAGAACTTTTGATCTCTTTCAAATGTATTGTATTTTTCTTTACTTTTTAGTATTGCACTTAATTTGCATATTTACGGGTTTTATTTCACACTTTCCCTTTTCCCTTAGAAATAATAAAGTGCGATGGCGACTCTTGCTTATTTGCGAGTCAAGTTAATCAATAGCTTGATCTCCTATTTTCACCGCTATAGAATTGGCCACTCAGCTGGGGATGAAAAATTCTCTAAGTGGGTTAAACCTAATTTGTTATATCTGTTTTTGTTAATATTTCTTATTTGCTTATATTTGTTATTTTGTGGTTTCTTTGGGCGTTGATTACAAAGGACAAGTCCTATACCCGGACTAAGTACACTTAAGATAGGACAAGCAATATAGTCGTGTCAACTTTGAGGGAGTAATCCCAAAAAAGGAGGCATGAGATCCCCCACTCAGTGGAGGCCCCTTTGACTGTAGTATTTGTTTACCGAGTAATCCAGAAGACATTGCTGCTTTTGACCTGGGAGCCAGAGAAGTTGAGATCCATAGAACCCCTAATCCATCTTGACATTTTTAGATGTAGTGTGGAGACTACGACGGAGTAATCCGGAAGTAGTTGTCACGCGATGCTGCACTTAGACGAGTTTTTTTTCCTGTGAATATTACTAATTACCGAGTAATGGGAACATTGGTAATATCCGAAGGAAAGACGTAGAATTTGGGAACCTTTTAGAACCTTTTTTGGTAGGTGATAAACCCTTAGTACATACCTTGCGGGTTGATTCTCACCCTTTGACTCCATGCTCGTGACGTTAAACCTTTGAACCTTGTATATGTTTGTTGCATAGCCATACCTTTATGCATTCATAAACATCATGACATGCTTGTGACACATGTGGTCATTTCATTTCTAGGTAACATTATATTTGATTCTCATATCAAGCTCATTACTCATAAATGGACACTAGAAAGAGGAGTACCATCAGTTACAATGTTTGGACGCCAGTTCAAGTTGAGGTCACAAAGTCTTAAGATAAAGATCAGCAACAAGATTTTTACAGCTTTCAGTTTCAAGAAGAGATTGATCATTTGGAAATCATTATCAATAGAAGGGATGTACTCATCTAGGAGATAATTGAGAGACCAAAGGTCGAAGCAACGAATGAGATCTTTAAAAGGGCCCAAGAGTGGAGTAATGAGAATCTAGTTTGGAGTACCATTGCTGATGTAGAGTTTGGGGAAACATCTTAGGGTTTATGATTTGTGTTTTAATGATCACTTTCAGGTCGGTTGATTGGGATCTCTTGGCTTTGTACCTTTGTACCCTTTAGGCTCTTAGCTTTGTACTAAACTCAGTTGTCACATTTTGTTGTTAATTATTTCTCGCTTGAAGCTTGAATCAAAATTTGAGGTTCTTAGAAATGAAGTGAACTTACCATTTGCATAATCATGCATCATTCTACATTTTTGTTTCACTTTCGAAAGTCATTCCCGAGTCTTATTTTTCCTTTGGTCCCGTAGTACAACGCTCGTTCTTATGGAAGATGGAAAATCTTGAACAAGAGAATCACGAGTTATGCGAAGAAGTTATTGCTTTGAGAGCTGGTATGGCTAATTTGGCTGCTTTGGTGGAATCGTTGGTGGTTGCTCAGATTCATCCACCGCCTGCTCTTCCATCTCCTCATGCTACTCAGCCACAAAAGTCAACTGTTTCTTCTGAGGTTCCGTCAGTTCCCGTTTATGTTACTCCAGTTACTGCTGCTCAATATTGTATGCTTCAGAGTTACCCGTGGGAACGCCTGAAAACTTTATGCCATAAGGTTATAATTCTGATGCTCAAGCTGTTGTTATTCCTGCACCTCCTGTGGTGCACATTACTACTGCTTCTAAAAATGAGATTCGTTACACTGCACCTCCTATGGTGAATGCCATGCCATTTGTTAATGATGAAGTTTATTGTCATGTTCCTCCACCAAGTGAAAGTGTGGGCTTCTATGACCGATTGGATGACTTTCAGGACCAATTCATTAAAATGCACAAAGAGATAAAGGCCCTCATAGGGAAAGAGTGATTTGGACAGAACATCGGTGAACTCTGCTTAGTTCCTAACGTAAAAGTGTCAGCGAAGTTTAAGGTGCAAAAATTTAAGAGGTACAAGGACAACTCTTGCTCTCGTAACCACCTAGTGATGTATATCAGAAGGATGTCCACTCACACAGATGACCAATGTTTTCTTATTCATTTCTTCCAGGATAGTTTAACTGGTGCTGCTTTGAAATGGTATATGGGATTGGACAGTAGCAACATCTACACATTCAATGATTTTGGTGAAGCTTTTATCAAAAAGTATAAGTACAACATGTTCATGGCACCTGACCGTGACCAGCTGAGAGTGATGGCTCAGAAAGATGAGGAGTCATTTAAATAATATGCACAAAGATGGCGTGAAGTAGCCACCCAGGTGATCCCTCCAATATAAGAGAAATAAATGACAAAGATCTTCCTAAAAACTCTTGATTCCTTCTACTTTGAGAAGATGGTTGCAAGCGCTCCCACTGATTTCACTGAAATGGTAAGCATGGGAGTTCGTTTAGACGAATCTATCCTTGAAGGCCGTTTATCCAAAGATGGGAACTCATTTGATGGTTCCAAGAAGTGTGGTGATAACTTTGTCGAGAATAAAGAACATAATTCCAATGTTATTTTGAGAGAAGGGCCTAGGAGAACCCTAAGAAAGAATGATCATCATCAGCAACATGTTTTTCCTGTCACCTCTATGGTAAATGCAGCTTCTGAAGCTCCTAATCAATAAGTTCATAATCAAAGGAAACCTCGGTTTGATTCGATTCCAATGTTGCATTCGGAGTTGTTTCCTTTCTTATTACAAAATAATTTGATTTAGACTTGATCACCGTCAATTGTTCTTGAGGATCTATCATGGTGGCATGCCGAAGATGCCTTTTGTGCTTATTATCAATGTGCTCTTGGGCATGACCTTGATCATTGTCTCGCTTTGAAGGATGAAGTTCATAAATTGGTCAAGAGCGGTATTTTGTCTTTTAAAGACGGTGGTCCTAACGTTCAAGTCAACCTTTTTTCTAAGGCATGAGTGAATCTCTGTTTATTTTGGCCTTGAAGTTTGAGAGAGGTTTCCTTCATCACAAGTCCAGATAGAGAGCCTTCTTAAGATTATTAACTCACTTATGCTTTTCATTTTTGCAACCTTTCGTTTTTTATAATATATTTGTTTTCGCATGTAAGAACTTGTTTGCATTTGAATGATTATCTTAATACAATTAGTATGTTTGTCTTGAAGAAACCCATTCGTTTCACTCGTATTTGTTTCAATTTTAAATTGCTTTTTTCATTATGATACCAACTTGTTATCAATTATCTTGCCCGGGAAGAGATTGGAGGGAGGATGATGATATTAAAATGCAAAAATTCTAGTTGGATGCTTTTGGATAAAACCCTGTTGAGGATGTACATGCATTGTTTCAAATCCCCAAACACCGGAGATATAAGGGAGTGAAACCTTTGTTAACCACTTTAAGCCTTGAAGTAGGAGTTTATTTTCTATTCAGAAAAACCCTCTTTTTTAACCCGGGGTAGGGTAGTGTTCAGTTAATCTGATTGAGTATTCAAATCTCATTAAGAGTGAACGTCTAAGGATATAACAATGATTATCCTTCGAAATGTTGAGGAAAGTCAAAACCGCAATGGTCAAGCTTCGCCTATCAGTAGTGTGCATCAAAATAAGATGATATACCAATGGGTATCTCTCGCGCATCAAGTGGTCAACATATAAGGATACGATAATGAC